GCCTTCCATGATGAAGAGGGTGGTTTGAGTTTCTGAGGACATGTGTGATGTGGAGCATTTTGTGGAGGCAAGGACAAAGGGGAGAAGAAGGCTAGATTTAGGGGTTGCGAGAGGAAAGAGACGATAGAGAGCGAGGAGATGATATTTATGGTGTCCCTAACCCTTGTTGAGAGTTGCTATAGTTGTTTCATGTGTGATTATGTGTGTAGAAATAACTTTGAAAATGCAAACGAGTTGTTTGAGATGGCTAGGAGCATCCCACACGATGCGTGGTGCGAGTACTCGTGTGTGATGATTTGTAAGTTACACATACACGTGCTCATGTTAATACGTGTGTGAGAGCATGCGACACAGCATACGGTTGTGTGCTGCAAATTGTGTGCTCCACTTAGTCTTCCCGCGCTCCAGCGAAGACTTCCCGCGCAGCCGCAGGGGTAAATTGTAAAACTCGCAATCCCCTTAGAAGCTGCTAGCTATAAATAACCACAACAATGGCCGGTTGCGTCGACTAACTACTGATCCCCTTGCCAGCTAGTTACCCACACATACTGGCATACCCCCAGCGGCCGACGACGGGATGGAGTTGGCGATGGCGGAATCGAGGCTGGCAACACGATGGTCGGCTTGGCGGTCGATGGCCATGTCGTCGCCTCTCTCGACGACGGCTAGAGGAAGCAGGAAACACGGTACGATCGCCAGGTTAGCCAGGGTCGTCCTAAAAGCGGTCATGGATCGCTAGCGGGCGATACTGCTGACTCGACGCAGAGTAAGGCAGATGGTGCGGGCGATGGAGCAGGAACCGTGACAACGCAAGGACAACTGTGATAGTGTCGGCCACCACACAAGGCGCGCGCTTATGTCCCAGATGTAGGAGGGTGCAGCACCGGACGTCGCCGGGGTATGCCTGGGGGCCGTGACACCAGCCATGGCAAGAGCTAACGTCATCCCGCCGGATGTCGCTGGGACAGACCCGGCGGCCGCGGTAGCCCTGGTGAGCATCGCGCCTCAGGCAGTACCGGCGATCCTTGATGTCGAGGCTGCCCCAGGCTCAATCGATCAAGGTTTGTAGGTCATCGAATTGGCGGCCTCCGCTCTTCCTGAGCCCAGGATTGACACGCTGATGGACGATGGCAGCTATGCGTGCTGGGTCGGCGTCAAGTGCATTGTAGCTCTTTGTGCGTGCGCGGTTCATTATATTCTTATAAAATATCGAGCTAGTGGTTTGTAAATTACTCGTCGAACTAGGCACTGGACCAATAATGGTTTATAAAATATGCTCGATTGATTTGTTCATGCATGTCAAATATGTCAATTGTTATGGGCTGGCCTATCTATATATTATCTGAATTGAATTGCTTTGCTAAAAGATCTACTCAATTGTTGAGATGCATTGCTTGTCTTGATCCAAGGAACTCATTTGCTAATTTTGATGAAGACAAACTTGTTCAACTTGCTTAGATGTATGCTGATGACTTCTCCATATATGAGATTTCTTTTGTCCTTAGAAACCAACTTGAAAACTTCATTGCAGATGTGAGAGTTGATTCAAGTTTTGTTAGTTGTAATGACCTTCGTAGTCTTGCTATGAAGATGGTTCAGACTGATAGACACATGGTCTTTCCTTTGGTATATCGTCTTATTGAGTTGATATTGATTTTGCCTGTTGCAACCGCATCAGTGGAATGAGCTTTCTCAGCTATGAGTATTATCAAGACTAAGTTGAGAAATAAGATTGGTGATGATTGGTTGAACTATTCCATGGTGTGCAATATTGAGAGAAAAATATTTGCAAAGGTTGATGATGATGCTATTATATACCGCTTTCAATCCTATAGATCTCGCAAAGGAACTTTACCTCGTCGTGGTAGTAAGTTTTCAACTTTGTACAATGTTAATTGTTTCACTTGATGTTTATGTCTTCTCATATGAAATTTTTCTTTTGATTTATCTAAGGTGTTGGCTCTTCTTCCACTGTTGATCAAGTTATGGAAGACACTGATGAAGCAAGCCATTGATTTGGTACTCTTTTTATTACACGTATTTTTTGTAGTTTTTGTTATCTTTTTATCTATTTTGTTGTATCTTTAAGCATTGAGTTTAAATTCTAAATTTTTGATGCAATTGAGCCATATTTGAGGTATTCTTTTGAGGTAGCTATAGCATGATGGACGTTAAGTTTTTCTATCGCATCAAAAAAGAATTTGGGCCCCCGGCTTGCTCCAATCCTGGATCCACCACCCTCGGTTTCTTGTCATGTTGTGTCCAGGAGCTCGAATGGAACCCGTTGACACTTATTGCCATGGGGAGGATGCTATTATGCAGGCCCAATGAATGACGGTGATGGCCCAATGTAGCACGAGTCATGTGTAAATCATGTACACGTACGTACAACCACGCTACAAAAATATGGGACAAGTACGCACTAGTTTGTTCGTGTACCGGCCGGTCGCACCGGTCGCACTCGCGTATATAGGGCGAATGTCTCCAACAATCGGCAAAGCAGTGTACATCGAGAGGCAACGTCCGGCTAGTTGGGGTACGATGATAGTATCATGTTACATACGCAACAACAGGGTACATGCAACAAACTGTTGCATAGGAAGGTGGGTGTATGCAGCAACGAGGAATCTGAAACGGGTCATGTTCATCGAGACCAACTGGCTGGGGTGGGGTGTACCACGCAATGACAGACACATGTTAGTGCTAGTTGAAAGCACATGTTGGGAAGCACAGTTTAGTTAACATTGGAGCACACATGTTAGTACTAGCTGGGAACACATATTTGTTTGGAAAAATAATCATTAAAACCTATCAACAAGGGCTAGTTTTGAAGACTCAACGCGACATACGCAACAGCGTGAACGATTTGTGATTTGAACGCACGTTTCACAAAATGTATCATTCTACAAATGTCGCTTCACATTGCGCCTTTGGAACATGGTAAATGATTGGTTGCACTTGATTGACTTTGATACTTCAAATTAGCACCTCAAGGATGCTGTCAGAGATTGGTGGACCAAGAGATCCGACGCCAACACACTAATAGAAAGGCTATGGCATCCCTTATAATGCTCATGGGTTGGACCATTTGAAATGAGAGGAACACCTGAGTCTTCAAGCACTGGAGCAAAAAAAATTGAGAACTATTGTACCATGAGAGTGAGGTTTATGTAACTTGGGGCTTGTAACACAAATTCTATCTTCTTCTTAATTAATATATGAGGCAAATATTTTGCCCCCATTTCAAAAGAAAAAGAGATCTAAAAATAACACAAACAAACCTTCCGAAAAAGATCACATCAAAACTCTCAGAATATATATTAGGCATTCGATAAACGGTAAACATGTGATTGCACCACTTGCCATCACCAAGAAGTTATAAGTAACTTTTGCAAAGTATCCTTCGACTAATTTTTCTAAAACAAAGTACCTTTTGACTAAGCAACTTTCCGCGACCTCACAGCAGATTGGGCCACATGCCTTCAAAATGGGCTGCCAGACGATAAAGCTGTTTAGTTCATCTCTTTATAAAAAAAATCTGTTACACCCACCCACCCCCCTCCCCTCGATCCATATATTTGTCGTTCAAACAGATATATTCATGTGAGCAACTAACTGAGGAGCGCTCCTTCAAGAGCCAACCCAAGGGTTACTTGGGGTGGGGTGAGAGCGTGCTACTTGGCGTGCTCTCACTCCCCACCATGTGTCATGCTCTGGGTGCTCCCTCCGAATTTTTTTTATTTTCTGCACGCGTTTTCAGCTTTTAGATGGGTTTTTTTTTCAGGTTTTCGGTTTTTCACCGGTCTTTCTTAGCTTCTCAACAAAAGAAATAAAAAAAAACATTGCGCAAAAATAGGTTCTTTTTTTCTTCAGCGGGAGGCACGACTTTGCCTCTCGGAAACGAAAAATAACACGTTTTCTTTTTTTTCGTGAGAGGCACGGTTTTGCTTTCATGAGAGGCACGACCGTGCCTCTCGGAAACAGAAAAAATAAACATGTTCCTCTCTTTATTCTTCCTTTCGTAAGAGGCATGGCCATGCCTCTCGTAAACCAAAAAGAATGTGTTTTCTTTTTCTTTTTTCCTTTCATGAGAGGCACGATTTTGCTTCCGAAAGAGGTTGTGCCTCTCAGAAACAGAAAAAGAAACATGTTTTCTCTTCTTTTTTCCTTCCGTCGGAGGCTTGGCCGTGCCTCTCAAAAACAGAAGAAAAAAATGTGTTTTCTCTTCTTTTTCTCTTTCACGAGAGACAATTTCGTTTCTACGAGAGGCATGGTTTTGTTTCTGCGAGGCCATGCCTTTCAAAAAGGAAAAAAAAACATGCTCCCAGTTCGGTTTTCTCGTCCGTTTTCTTTGTCCAATTTTTTATATGAGAAAAGTTTTCATTGAAACCTATCAACATAATATCTCGACACGAGGAATCCAACTGTAAAAACAGTTCAAGATTTGGACCCACGATTAAGAGATAAACGTTTTAAATAAACGGATCTAGAAAAAAAGAAAAAACTCTCAAGTTGCAACAAATTGCACACATGCAACGTTCCACCTGTCACAACCTAGAGAGGGTAGAAGTGATCATGTATCCAGCGGAGGGAGTACCTGAATTCAGATGAATGGGTTGCAGCCTCTAGCAAATTAAGTTCGATGAATACCATAAAATAACTAAAAATAAAAAATGGTACGAACAAACTTCCCCTGAATTTGGGTCAAACGCATTTCAGATTTTAGTCATAATAACTCAGCATTCCAAGTAAATGAAATAGGTAACCCTGAAGCATGTCTGAGTAAAGATGTTTGTGAGGAAAATAGAAGGAAAACGAAACCATAACCTAGCTTGCTCACTGGCGAACCATGTACCGTTGAGACATTTCTACACCCCATAAATCCCGCAAGCCTGGCATCCTACGGGCTACTCCATATACCATGGAAGTGACGAGCAAGATTTGACACAGATCATGCTTGCTGTTTTGTTTGGGCTTACAAGTTTGACGGATGATAATTCCTACACTTTTTCCTCACTTCTGTATTCAATCATTTCTGGGCAGTAGCGCCTCGACAGCACTTCCACTTGTTCGATGAAAGGCTTCTCCCTGTGGCCACCAATGGCGCGGACCATCTGGTTCCATCTTTGACGACAAACCTCCCCAGACCTGAGTAAAGAGTGAAACGCCCCGTTATTATAACCACAAGGGTACCAGAATTTGTTTCTGTATGAAAATGCATGCCCTTCTGAAACTTGACACGAAGCCCAAGCTTCCTGACAAAATATCAAGTATACCAGTAATCCAGCACTAAGGTACTAGTGTATGCCAGGGTTATTGGGAGGATTTAATCAAACTTGGTACATAACCCAAATGCACACTATTATTCGCTAATGTCCATTTTGCTAAAATTTAAATCTAAGGCACAGTTAAATAAATAAAGCTAACAGCTCTGTTAACAAACTCTCTGGCTGTTAAGGAAAAAGTTGGTATTTGCTTCATATCCTTCACAGGAAATACTATTTACTCCAATAACATGCCACCTTTAATTTAGACTGCATTAGAGTATTTCAGACCATTGAAATGCAATGAAGCGCAAATCCTTTGCGTTTTCTTGAAAAAAAAAAGTTGATAAAATGGGGTAACTGAACCAAACTACTTTGTGATCAAGGACATGGCATAGTTAAAGGTTGTGAGCTAGATCAGCAGTCAGCACTCACCTGTGATCAAGTAGGCTGTCCCAGTCAACATCTTCAATACAGACAGCATCAACCTTTTGAAGCCTATTTTTTGTCAAAAAATTAGCACAGGGAGTATATTTTCGTTTCACGGTAACAAGACACTGAAAATAAATAACACATATAGGAGGGCTAAGCCTGAAAAAACAAAAATTACATCTAATACACTAACTTCAGTCCAACTGCGATGGAAATAAATAGACCGTTCAGAGAGAAAAAGGACTTGTGTTTCGTTCTGTTGATACAAAGCTTATGTGCAAATTTCGTGAAAAGGCAGATGGATATGATATATTAGCTCGCATGTATGTTTGTTACCTGCCCACGCCGTGTTTCGTTCTGTTGATACAAAGCTTATGTGCAAATTTGGTGAAAAGGCAGATGGATATGATATATTAGCTCACATGTATGTTTGTTACCTGCCCACACCCCATGGTGACATAAGCCCACCCACAACTGAGGACAATACCATGATTCTTAATGCAAAAACAAGCCAGAACAAATAGACTCCAAATTTTTTTGTTTTGCAGGACCCATATTGTCATACTACATCTTACATGACCACAACTGGGTGCTCATATAACCAAGGCGTGCATCACTACAATCATCAAGCATAAGAATATCAAACTTGTGGGGGAGTCACAGAATATTCAACACACAGCCTTGCAACAACACTGACTCAGTCCTATATTGCTACAAATGAGCCAGAGAAATCAATCTCTTTCAGTTTAATAAGAAATAAACCAAAATTTTCACCATAAGTTGATCACTCAGAGCCTATGCATTACAGCCAGGAACGAGGCATGCAATGCACCTGAGGGCAAGCACGCAACCTCTTACTGTACCCTCTAGTCCCAATCATAAGCATACACAGTCTTCCGTTCCATATAGCCCATAAGAGTGGTCAG